TTCCTTGAAAGAACAGAGCATGATAGCTCACAATGAGTCACACAATCAGGGTCCAGAAGAGTGATGCTCTTATCCATAATTTGGTTGCATAATGGAAACACGGGCTAACCACTTTAAGCTGTTTACAAGAGTTTTTTTTGTTTTTGTTTTGCAGCCTTTTGCAGAACAAACATAATTGTGCAGCAGCGTGTTTCCTGCCCTTTCTCGGTGGAGGCCACAGCTGTGTCAGAAGGAGTTGTTTCAAGCTTGGGCACCAGATTACAGCCTCCTCCCCAGAGCGCCCTGACAATGTTAATGTCAAAAGCTTGTTCTTCAGGGCACAGCTAGCAGAACAACATGGCAGCGCGGCTCTACAGAGATGTTTGTCAAACTAGAAAGAGAGCAAAGCAGATTTCATTAGCCTGTGATGATGTTACAGCATACATAAGGAGAGGACGTCGTAATAGGCATCCTGCAGGGAGAAGGGTCTTACTGGCATGTCCTCCGTTTCTGTCGGGTCCAACTAACCTCTCTGTCTCTTTTCTGCCTTCCTGCACTCAAATACAACTGTTCTACCACCAGCTGGGTGGATTCGAGCTGAATGTGATGAAAATTTTAGGAGGGCGAGCGTTAAAATGCAACGGACCAGTGACTGGGGGCTGTAACAGAAAGCCCATTAAGTAATGCAAACTTGAACAAAGATGCTGGAAATGTCTCAACTCTGGCCTTAATGTTCATACAGGTCATTTAGTTCACGACCGATACAAGATTTACAGAGTCAGTGTTGGTAGAAAGTAAAAATTATAGCTGTAAAAAATTAAGCCAAAGGGTATGTCTTTTGATGGCCAAGTTTCTGACTGTCAGAGCAGCTGACAATCAGTATCTATTGGCTCATCATTATTACACTTTATTATTTGCTTTGAATTTTTCTACGTTAAAGAGAAAAGTGTGAGGTAATTTAGCTCTGGGGATTTGATTCAGATCAGAATATTGTTCTGATTTGTGCCAAATTCTATCTACTGGTGGCTTCCAACAAACCCTGTTCCAAGCTTAGAGTTATATGAATTTAACTGCCCCACTTCTTTGTCAAGTAGATGCACAACTGAATTATAAAGTCCCATAGTCATCATCACACACTGGTGAAATTCATCTCCACATGTGACCCATCCCCATGGATGGGAGCGGTGAGCTGCAGCTGTGGAAACAATTTGGTGGTTTAACCTCCAATTCAACGCCTTATAGCTGAGTGGCAAGCAGGGAGGCATTGGGTCCCATTTTTAAAGTCTTTGGTATGACCCGACCAGGAATTGAACCCCAATCTCCCAGTCCCAGGGCAGACACTCTACCACTAGGTCACTGAGCTGGCAAAGCTCAGATGGAGCTCCAAAGAATGTGTTTAGGCATTTTGGTGCAAAAAAGCATCTTCAAAGGTTGTCATTTTCTAGAAAGATCAACTAAAAATTTAAGACTTAGAAAACAATGACAAATCCTGCTTATTCCCTTTTATGTATGTTGCTATTAATTGCTCTTTTAGGCCGCTTTTTTGGAGCAGCTGTGGGCAGGTATTTGCTAAAAGAAACCTTTTCGTTTCGGGATATATTCAGATATTGTCATGTAGCAAGTTATCTTGTTTAATTGGAGCATAGAACATAGCATTAACAGTTGTAAACTAGTAACAGCCATAATTCATGTGGGTCAGGTTAGTTTGCGATAAAGTTAAAAAAACAAAAACAGAAACAGTCAGTGGGCTAGGCTGAGTTTGCGTGAATGGGCGGGGCTGACTCTGGTGCAGCTCCACCTTATGGTGCAGCTCCGCCTTTGTAGTTCTGCAGCGAGCACCCTCTCAACCCAAGCGAGCACGAGAAGAGATTCTGACGGAACTTCTTTCTGATTATTCCAACTAACGGATTCTCGTCACCACGACGGAGAACTTTAATCCCTGTGCTAGCCTGAGTTGCTGCTAGTGTTAACCTGAGCTAAGGCTAATGCTAGTCTAAATTATTGCTAATGCTAGCCCGAGGAAACGCTAATGCTAGCCTGAGTTGCTGGTAACGTTAACCTTGGCAAATGCTAATGTTAGTCTAAATTATTGCTAACACTAGCCTGAGCTGCTGCTAATACTAGCCTGACCTAATGCTACCCTAAGCTACTGCTAACGCTAACCTGAGCTGGTGCTAATGCTAGCTTGAGCTACTGCCACCGTTTTTGTTGGATGAGAGGAAAACGAGACAGAAGAATGTCAGAGCACACCTTTAACGTTTCAGGATGCACGGGGAAAATCTAGATTTTGAAATAATCCTAGATAAATCCATAGTTTGGCTAATGAGTTTTCCATAGTGAACATGGCTGAACACAGATTTTCTAGTTACAGGCAATCATAGAGCCAACAGTGGAAACCACCCAATCACCATGCAGCTCATTTAATACAATGCAGTAAAGGTGCATTGGTAGCAAATACAGGACTTTAAAATCTATCTCCAAAAGAATAAAAAAAAGGTTTTTATGACCGTTTTTAAGCCATTACAGTGACGTTAGTACACATTTAATATTGCAAATGATAAACTTTACATTTGTAAGTAGATTATGAAAGCTGTTGCACCTTGGATGATAGCTGTAGCTGCATATGGGCCTTAATACTGCAGCTTTCTTTTCAGTTTGGTCTAGTTTATGTCTGCTGGGTGTTAAAGTAGAGAGCAAGGCAGCTTCTCCTCTGGAGCAAAAGTACTTTCCAGTCTAAATGATGACCTCCTGGTCTAGTCAGTTTTCACTCATTTACATTAATTAGGTAATCTGATGAGTTTGGTTTCCATGTTATATTAAATGTGAGCTCCTGATTTCCTTTCCCTGCGACCCTCGACCGTGGTTTCTCATTAGTGAGTTTAGAACCTTAAGTGCTCATTTAGCTTTCCTCTGCTACAGAAACAATCGCTTTGTTTCAAACCATTCTCTCCTACATGCTCAAGAAGTCTTAAATATCCCAGTCAGTAGTCTCCTCGGTGGCCATAACAAAGTCAGTGCACTCCTATACGCTGCCTGGTGCTTCCCCTGGACACCTATAATCTGACTCATGCCAGCTACCTGCAGGCTCTGAGGGTGGAAGAGCAGGAGCACAGACCCAGACTTCCAGCTGAACTGAGGCAAAGCCTCTGTGCTCTGGCAAAAGCACATCCCAGCCAGGGCTAACAGGTCACATTTATTCAGGGCCTCCTTAGACAGCGGGATGATCATCTCTTCCAAAGACTGGAGACGAGTGAGAGACGAGGACTTACTGAGACTGGAGTCGGTTGGACTGAGCTAAAACAGGAGAGGCAGGCTGCTGCTGAAAGATCCGACGGATGCAGAAAAAGAATAAGATGAAACAGAAGTCACAGCAGGAGGGGTTGCTGATTTTTGCTGTGTGGTTGTTTACATTACAATTGAGGCGAAACCGCCTTCAGACCCCAGCATGAACAGGCTGCAGTGCTGAAGCTATGACGTCATACACCACAAGCTGGGAACGTGTTAGCATCTGTGCTGTTGTTCAATAAGAACTGACAAAATTGTAACCGAGTGATATTGGGAAGCTTTCTCCATCTCATCGACAGTCTTGGAGCTTGTGACGTTTTTAGCCGCCTGCCCGGATGCTCATTTATCAACCTCGGTTGTACTCTTCATCCCATCAACAATCTCTGGACACACAGTCCATTTTTAACCACCCGCAGCATCCTTAAAACCACCTGTTCCCACAAAATTTGAATTCTGAACACCTTCTCACATGACACTCTGGGCAACATCCCAACTCCACCGAGGTTTTAAAGTTAGAACGCATTTGTCCGTGGTAACGAGGTTACCAGAGAGAACAATCACAGAGAGAGCAGAAATGCTAAAGAAGTAATGAATGTGGAAGCTGCTTTAGTATAAGAAGGTCCTGGAGACAGGAACTGGGAGCATTACGGGGGTGGGGGGCTGCCTGCAAGGGAATACAGCAACATCACTTTCTGCTAAAGGAGATGGGTGAAACAGCAAAGAAAGGATTACATCACCGAAGCTACGTAAGACCCTCATGTACTTGTATAGGTGACGTCTACTGCACCAGTTTAACCCTTGCTGCTTGGAGGTGACATTAGCTCAATAGTAGCGGACATCCAAACAATGACCACACTATAATGGGCTCGACACACGGGAGGCGACATCGCCTCTCCTCCATTCATTTTCAATGAGACATGCGCGACAACGCGATAATCGCGGGTCTCCCTCCTACCAAGCGAAACGCGAAAAACGTGCGTGTGAAATTTTGCACTCGTGCACGTGTCGTGCACAGGCGACCCAGCGACGCGATCCCAGAAAGTTGAAACATTTTCAACTTTTCATCGCTGTCGCTCGGACGAGGACCAATCAACGGAGATTTAATTCACTGACCATTGAGCGGACAGGATGCTCCGCAGTTGATTATTATTATGTTTTATAGTAAAATCAGAAGTAAGATTTCACATAACTCTAGCAGCACCTTGTGAAACATCATATCTACCACTTTTTTAACTCTGAACCGCTTAAATAACCTTAATTCCCTCCAACCTGACACAGCCAAACAAAACAATAGAAGTTTCGATTTCGCCATGGAACAGAACGCGTAGATGGCTTTAACGCTGGCCGCTGCCGCGGATCGCCTCCCGTGTGTCAGGTAGTAAAAGCGACAGCGACAAATTTCGCTGATCGCGGTCGTTTGTCGCCTCCCGTGTGTCGAGCCCATAAGGCATTGTCCCTACTTTCATATCTTTAGCATTGCCACCATTGGGTGTTGGTTTGTAGGCATCTGCACATAATCACTTATTTTGTTTCTCTGTTTGCCTGTAATCCCTGATTGTTGAAACCTTACTAGTTAGTGGCTGAGGTGGGGTGGATGCTGAAACTCCACCACAATGTAGCTGTTGCTTTATATAATATTGATCATGATTAAAAACCCCATTTCAGCCAGTTTAGTTTAGGGTTAGTGGGAAACCAGGAGTTTTCTAAAGCTCATGGGTGAATCCAGAGACACCAACCTGCAGACTGAGAGTGCTGGTGATGTTTGCCTTGGGCATTGAGATGGCCACACTGGCAACACTGGTCTTCTCCAGCCGCTTTGACAGCAGCTCCAGGGTCAGCAGCTTGTCCAACCGAGCCAGGTTTTCCACGTGGAAGGGCAGCAGCAGCACGAGGCTGGCCCTGCCTCCTCACAGAGGCACATCCAGAACCTGTACCATGTTGCTGATGTCTTCATAAAAGCGGTACAAACCTGCAGCAGGAAGAGGAGGTGAGGACAGATCACATCCTTGAGTTCACAGCGCATCTGGTTTGAACTCCAACAGGAAACGAGGTTTAAATTTAGCCTCACAGTTGGAACAACAGGAAGACAACAGATGGCTGCTGCCAACTTCCTCTCAAATTGAAGATGGCATTTTAAAAGTAGCATTAAAGTGATTACAATGCATGTCTTCAACATTTTCTTACTGCTTTAATAACAAATTTGCTCTTCCTTGTTGTTTGGAGACGATACATAAAACATAAAGAGGCTGCTTAATAAATCATAACGGCACACAGCAATAACTGGGAGAGGGACAGAATGGACCTTACAGAGACCTCTTTAGTGCACTTATTTGTCTGTATATGTATAGATATGTAGTACCTGCTCTGTGCATCATAATCACTTTGGTGTATTTCTTCCCCAGGAAGGTCCGAGGATCAGTTTTTTCCTCGTTGACTTTTCTCTCCCACAAACCTGATCACACACACACACACACACACACACACACACACACACACACACACACACACACACACACACACACACACACACACACACACACACACACACACACACACACACACACACACACACACACAAACAAAGGCAGTTTAAACACACAATTCATGAATGCATGCCATGTGGAACTCATACATCAACTTACATCCATAAAAAAGGGAAAAAGAATCCCTCACTAATTTTTGGAACAAATACTGGAAAAACGTTGAGAATAAACGGTTATAGAAGACGATAAAACACGAGGAAGTAATGGAACAAGGACTGTTAACACAAAGGCCAAAAGCAAAGTGGATTTGTGAAAGTGGACAATAACCAGAGTAAAGCATAAGCTCTAAAGTTTCCTACCAATCATCAAGTAATTTTAAAGTTTATTTCAAATATGTCAAATAGAAAATAAATACATTGTAGCAGAATATAGTTGGTATATTCTTACACTTTCATTAAGGTTCAGAGATATCACTGATCCAAATCTGGGCTGGATCATTAATCTTTGGACCGGGCCCTTAGAATCAAAAGAGGTTGTTTTTACTACAGGGAATTTTATTCAAACACCTTGTATTGAATTAGAGACAAGAAGAGAGAGAGAGATGGGACGTTTAAGAATATTTATTTTATAATTATTCGAAACAATCACCAGGACTAACTCTCTAATGATGGATGCAGATGAATGTAATGCTGAAGTGTTGGTGTGTGTGTCAGTTCAGAACCTCCATCTGGTGGAGGCGAGTCTGAGTGCGAGGTGGTGTTGCCCTAACTGACCAACGATGGACTTTAGGAGGAAGACATGAGACGCTATCTATGCCGATCTACGTACCGTGCGGAGACCCCCGTGTTAGATCCGGATGCCAGGTCCTCGACCCTCCTTTGTGCTGGAACTGGTGAAACCGCGTCGGCAGCACGACAAACCAGTCTATGGATAGTCTCCCGGTACAACGGCAGGTTTCAGCGTCACATAGAGACCCCCTTTATTGGGTCATAGAGTTCAGCTTTTATTCTGAAGGAACTGTTGTCTTGTTGATAAAACAACAGAGTTTTCCAGCTTGACAGTTCTCAGCTTAAAAGTAGAAAATACAGCTGGCCAGTCTGTACTTCACTTAGCGATGATGGACATCAGATGGATTTGAGAGCTGGTTGAACTCACGTTGGAACTACGTTGAAACTTGCGGTGGAACAGAATTAAAATGGCATTGTTCTGTTTTATTAAGCTTAAATGTTTATGGTTCTTAGCTAATCAGAGTGGACAGATTAACTAAACACCACAGAGCTCTGCCACTCATCAGAGAGGAAGTTCTGATTGGATGAGTGAACAATGTGTCATGTGTTTACCTTATGTGGATCAGGATGTCTAGCTCAGTTAGCCCAAGTCCTGTTATTCATTAAACACATAAATCATAACATTGTGATTTCACAGATCAGTCATCTAATTATTATTGACCAACAGTTGTTTTGATTAGCTTTATTAAAAATAAAGTTCTTTGATTAACTAATGAAAAGCGTTCTTCGTCCTTCTTCTGTCTTCTTTGCTGGAATGTAAACACCAGAAGCAAGCACACGACCTTGGCAATTTATGCACACTGTTACTGTGTCAAAGGGCAACTGTCAAGGGCAGAAATGGCATATTCATAACGCTACACCATCAATCAAAAATCTGGTTTAGAGAAAATCATTTAGAAGGGTTGGTGGTAGGGGACACCGCTCCCTCAAAGATGAGGGCCATTTCACTTTGGACGGTCCGTAAATTCAGCCACCCAAATTTTTCGGCTGAAAATGACCCAAAAGTGCATTTTTTGTTTTCGTCCGAAACACCTGAATCACTGAAACAACACAACCGAAACAGGCCGTCAGGTGAACCCTGTTTTCGGTTTACCTCACTCCACCCTCATGTGACAACTTTCTCTCTTCTTCGTTAAAAATTCGTACTGATTTCAAAAGTAAAATTTTTTCTAAAGTTATTTTATATTTATTTTTTACAGTCCCAGCAGGCCTTTCAGTTATAAGTCTGTAAACTTTTAATGTATCATTTTATTATTTATAATTTACATTGTTTTTATGTACATGAGTGGGGTTAAGTGAAACATTTTGTTATGAGTTTTAATTTCTTTTGTGCACTTTTTTTTGTCAGTTTTAAATAAATATATTCATGATTTTTTTTAATAGATTTATTGCAATGCCTTAATTTTACTGAGGCTAATACACATCATAGCTATAAATTCTATGGTTCAAATTATTGACATAATAATTTATTCCAGAATTTCAATTCTGGCCAAGAAATTTATTTTTGGTGCATTCCTAACAATAAATACTAATATGTATAACCAGCTCCTGCTTTGAAAAAAAAAAAGTTTTTTTTTTTGTTGTGTGGTCATTCCGTACAGGAAGATGAACAATTCAAATAAATAATTTAAAATGCCAAATTTATGTAGCTGTCCATCCCTATTTTGGTATTTACTGTCGGAGCTCCAACAACCTTTTTAACAAATCAAATATTTATTTAGCCACAAACCTGTGTTCTTGGTTCGAATCTGCAAAATGCCTCTAAGCACACAGCCATACCCTAAAGCGGAAAAAAAAAAACTTTAAAATGCATGCCATGTCCACAATAATACATATAGGCCCCATATAGTGACACAGGCATGAATAATGAATTATTTACTTAAAACATGCAAACAAAACTGCTGAAGTTCAGGGACTTGCTCAGGCAATCATAAAGCCCTAAAGGCCACTGTGTACCATCCAGCATTCAATATGTCCAAATCTTTATACTCCCTGCCCCTCCAACCCCCCTAGACAGCTGTCAATTGAAGAAGAGCTGAAAGCAGAGGAATTACTGCTGCAATAACCTGAAAACACTTGTCCAGTTCAGAGCACAGAGGTTGACAAGATTATGACTTGTTCCCACTTTTGCTGCCTTCAGCGGCAACAAATAATGACTCAGTATTGATTCATCTTTTAGAAAAATCTCCACAAAACGCTAAAAAGCTACGAGACGTGAAAAAGTCAAGAGTTTGAAAACTTATTATGATGAAACCTTTTCATTGAAAATATTGAGCACCATCATCTGTTGTTCATATTGTTGATTATTGATCTGATCTGCACACAAAAAAATACCCATCACCAAGTACAAGATGACTTCTACAAATTGAGTCGCATCAAAAGCCAAGATGAGAACATTTTATACTGTGTGCATTTTACTCCATGGAAGGTATTGAGAAATCCCACCTGGGAATTAAAGTTTGTGATAAAGAAAGTGAAAACAGCTGTAACAGTAGAAAAAACAGCAGAAATTATTCAATTAATTTAAAGAGCTAGCATTTTTAAAAGAAATGGGTTTAAATTTGATTGTTTTATGTTCAGATGTTCTGAAAATAAACTTTTAAGTCTTACACGTATCACAAATATCATTTTATGTTGAGTTATCCAAGTTAGCTTGAGTTTGTTAGGAATGATGGTCAGCCACTGGTAACACCTCAAACTGTAGCTCCGTACCCATCATCTTAATGTTGATTACAACTGGTTAGCGCTGTTGAAATGGGTTGACTTGATGACTTAATTTGTTGTGGATGTACATCTATTGATACATTATTAAGCCCTGGTACACATTTACCCAGGTCTTTGTAAAACCAAATATCCTTCTCGCCCATCTTGGATAAAAACTTGGGTCCACACCAAGCCTGTAGGTGGCAGTAGTTCCCCAAAGTGTTGACATGTTTGCCAGAAAATATTTTTTGGACATGGAATAACTAGGGAGCAGTCAATAACAGTTTTTAATGTAGTTCTTCACCTATGTTCTACTAGACAGCGCAATAGTTGAGCTCACAAACACAATTAAGTGGGGGTTAACGTTGACTGTCTTTTTATCTCTTCTTTATTCTCTTCTTTTCCTGTACTTTGGGTAAAGCTCTTTGGTCAGCTCCCACGCTGTTTGGAAATGAGCATGATAACTAAAGTGGTATAGTGTGGTATGGTGTTACATCCACAAGCAAATGCTGATGACAGATTTCCCAAATCTCGACTTTGGTCAGGATTTTTTATTATTTTTGATGACGTTTATCTTCGATATATAAATATGTTCGGTATATATAATCGATACAGGTACTTAACGGTACCAATTTCTGAAACTTTTGAGTATTTAATAAAGAATTAATTATTTTTAGTTAAATATATATACTTATATACTCTCAATATATAACCATATTTGATAAATATGATAAATAACAAACTGTTTGTATTTTAACATCGTAGTGTTGTACAAAGTTCTTCAATATGAAAAATTTTAACCACATCTGTTTCTAAAACCCAGTGGCATGTACTCCTAATTTTCTTCTATGCCATCTGGAATAACTATGATAAGGAGACCATGTATTATAATCTACAGATGAAACTAAAACAAACGTTGATACCATAAAATTGTTTGTATTTTAATATTGTGGTGTTTCACAAACTAAACCCAGCTCCACGTACTCCTTTCCTCTCCTTTCCCCTCTGAAAAAAATTGTGTGATGGGTGGGTCCTTGTAGTTTTATAAACTGCAAACAAAACTGAAGCAAAAATCTTTGCTGTGAACTAAATTCTCTGTGTATCTTAATTCTCTTAGCCGTTCATTTTCAAACAGTTTTTTTTCTTACTCAGAAGTCGGAATTTTCCAGTTGCGAGGAGGAAGTGAACACACCATTAGATGATAGCAATGGAAGCTAAAGTATCAAGCTAACATTATCTTAAATAGTTTATCTACCTACTGGAGCAGATTAAGATGATCATTGTCGATGTTGTCACCCATTGCATTTAGTGAAGTGTACCCAAACTTTAGAGTGCGTTCTATCATGCGGCTTTCTCTGTTTACAGCTGGCCAGCAGCAAATGAAGACATAACGCTCTTGTGCATGCGCTGCTGTCTGTCTTGGGAAATTAGGTACCAAACTCTATGGTATCGAAACAAGGCACCCTTTCATACCAGGT